ATGTTTCATTTTCGTAAGCAGCTATTACAGATACAGACAATTTGCAGGAATGTTTAGTAAGATCACAACACGATGCAACACGTCTGAATTCCAAAGACAGTTGGTACTAAGCGATAAACAAACTGTTGGTCATGACGCATCACGAACCTCACCGGACACACCCGAATACTTAAGGAGTTAAACGAGTCAGTTTGACACGTAGAAATACGATGCAGTTTATTCCGAGAAAGCTGTTTTGTGAAAATTGGATTTACGAAATCTACTACCTCTAATCGATGGTTGCTGTTTTTTTCAAATGCTTGAAATAGTTAATAAGATTTGTATGGTATTGGAAAGCTCATGAAATTCTGCAATTATTTTAGTAATCTGTATGCCGAATATCATACATTTAATTTCAAATAACTTATGATGATTTTCGGAAATAATAAACAAAAATCAAAATCTCTTCACTAATAGCCTTTTATTTCCAACAGTTTCAAACTTTTCGTATAGCGTTTTTATCTCAATTATTTGCTAGTTTCACAGCTCTCAGAAAACCATCAATTCAGTTCCAAGAAATGAGTAGATTTTTAAAAAAAAGATTTTATTGATCAGTAAGCAAAAAATCCTTAAAAAGACTTGAAATGCCGATATCTCGGAAACCGCTCAATTCCGACCCCCCAGTTGATGGGAATTAATTTATTACAAATAACCTCTAGAATCACCACTTTCAGGGAATAGATCGAATTTCCAATCTCCCTGTATAATTACATGATCAAACGAGCTTACCTGTAAGTGATGTTCGATCTTAATTACGTGAAGTCCTCGTCAAAGTAAATGTTTAGAATACATATCGTAGATGTTCAAAGCTAGTTGCAACGATATACTGCTAACGCTCTACAATAGTAAACGATAGGTTGTACGCAGCTACCCAAACTGTAGGCAATGTATGTGTCAACTAAATGTACGAGTACATTTCCATTGTAACAAGTCAAGCTAGGGCTTTTAGCAACAGGTAATATGACGTACCTGGTTCAAAAATTACAATCCATTGCATGGTAATAAGCAAATAACGTAATAACATAGTTATGTTTAAGGTGTGGCGACTTGGGTCACTTCAAATGCCGCTTGAGCAAAGCTATTGTTTATGACGTATCTCAGAAAACGCACTACAGCCCGCCGCGAGCCTGAGACTACTATAATTTAGCAGGCGGAGAGGTAGACGCATTTCATGTACTGTGGGCTGTCAAATGTGACACTCTCTGCTAAAACCAACTTCATCCATCTGGGAGCAGAGGCACCATGATGAAGTTACTGCACAGTGACAAATAAATATTTTGACTGCACAGATATTTGGGCATAAAATCCGGTAAAACTAAAAGCGGTTGTCACATGAGTGACCCCGAGACTTTCAAAAACTGAGAAATCCCAATTTCGATATTATTCAACCCAATCCGGATTTTGTCTGTTTCAATTAGTTTGCACACTCTGACCTGAGGTTAGAGCTAGCAGTCTTGCTGATTTCCTCATTCAAATATCTACAGAGCTTACCAGCAACCTCTTTGGTGGGTTGAGAACAACCACAGTATCTAATATTTCAGTTGAGATGGCCTCAGCGTGTAAATGCCCTTCAAAAACCAACTTATGTCTGCATCGTTAGTAACATTTTGGATAAAAGACTGATAGCTCAAACAATTATATCTTGATCTCTTATCACCTGTAAGGTGTAGAAAACCAGACATGTATTTCTTCCCGACAAAGGTCCCACCGTAATCTGAGCCCACAATACATGATGGATTGCAATGACAGCTTTCCAGTGACTATAATCACGGTAAGCTTCAGAATTAGTGGGAGCGGCGTCCTGGGTCCCTCCATCAGATCCTTGCGTACTTCTAGAAGTGAAATTTCAGAAACAGTGAATACTTGAAACAAAATCAGGACGGTAACAGGTGTAGCTCCCTCTCCGTTTTCCCGTCCCACTGACGCAAAATCTCATCTGTATCAGTATTACTCTTAGATTTTGTATTTGACGCGAGGTGCTTCTCTCTTTACACAATTGCCATAGTTTTCCCGCAACCTGGTCCAGACGTGGAAACTAAAAGCTCTCCATTCTATTGATGTAGGATTGGGTATCCATCACAGAAGAAAACCACCAGTGGTTCTTGATGATTAGCATGCGCGATCTTCTTCTCGGATGACCAAAAACTAGAGATTTTTCCCAGTCCGAGAAATTATGCAACTAAAAATTGGATAATTCAATACCTCTGACCGCATCCGCCAGTTTCTTTGAGCCCCAGCCGAGGTAGACCTTAAGTTATGTTAGTGGCATAGTAGCGTTAAAATTCCCTCGAGAATTTTACAAGGCAAGAAATTTCACTCGTTAGTGTATAGTCGGCTGAAACGAAATGAAAGACAAGCTGACACCAAGATCCCGATGTTCACCGCAAAGTTTCAGACTCTGTCTTGGTTGCTGTCCATTATTGCCCTTACTAGGTTTAGTTGTGTCTGCATCGACCGCTCAAGTAGGTTATTTTCTTTCTGTCATAATTCAATACTGATCCTATTATTCCAGAAATGGTTTTATTTACGTTCTGAACACATGAGGGGCACAATTTACTCTAAACGGTACATCATCGTATTGGAAGAGCTGTCTCTTGGATATGAATCTGAAATATATTCTATGACTCTCCCTAATCTCTGCATATTCCAAATCCATATTCGTTAAGAAAGTATCTCTACGGAGAAGTCTGATCCCGGTTCAATAGCCTAGACTTAAGTGTTCTATCCCTATAAACAGACAAAACGTCTTAAGGTAAGGAATCAAACGTCTTGACCCATCAGACTGGGGGGCAAGAAAAAGTTGGATATGTGATGATTTTTAGTTAGCTCAACTTTTTTATTGATAGTACCGCAGCTGAGCAATTGAGATACTGTCGAAGGTCGGTAGTTCATAGATGGACTAATGAGATTCATCTATGGCAAAGTGCTGAACCGGTGGCAAGTGACCACTTGAGTCCAACTCAGGACTTTAGCGCCACTCCTAAAGCTCTGCCGTCGATGATGAACACGCGTCAATGTCCCTGTAGATCTACACACATCATCTGCAATAACGGGTTGATGTTGTCAGTACGTTGTCTGTCCTTTTGGCTTGCTTTCAGATGCTGCTCAGTTTATTTCTATTTAGAATTGACTTACTTGGTCAGACCTACACCGAAGAACCAGATATCAATGAAAGCCTCTGTCAGAGTACTCCCGAGTTCTTTGCTTTAATGTGAACATCTGCCAGCATGCGCTCCTCTCCCTTCTTTGAACCTAGGGGATAGAGTATTGCCACTGGTAGTTAATGAACAGCTCACATGTTGGTGTACACAGACCAAGCACGCATTCCTTCGTGCGACAACTTCTGGCTTACGCTACCTCACCTGGTTCACCTTAGGTGGCTAGAATAGATCAGAATTTATTCATCTATCGTCATCAACAAGACCTGCCCTTGAAATGTCAGCCTTGGAACAACGAGTGAATATCAATTATACTAAGGTCGCCTCATCATCGTGGTGATGCATCATCTATTGAAACAGACTACATGGCCTTTAAGACAACACAATCCAGAGCGCCCTGCTGTTCGAGTTTCACCTATACAAAATGTAACGTTAATCGGGCATAATGATATTTAACTTCCGTTATTACTGAACATTAGAACTTTGGTGGTTTCCTAATCGGTCATGTTCATACGTACAGTCCTGTTCCATAGTAAGTTATCACCAGCCAGGTGGAATTTGCTATCTCAAGCAAAATGTAATGCTAGTCTCACATAGATAAAGCCTAATCTCTATCTGTTATTAACGAAAAATGGTACTTTAGTGGTTTCCTAAACTGTCATATGCGTTCTGACAAAGATGTTCCAAGGTTATCAAAAACCAGATGAAATTTGCTATCACAGGCAAAATGTAACGCTAACCTCGCTTAAGGTGCCTATTCTTCATCTGGTGATAAGAAAAAGATATACATTGGCGATTTTCTAACCTGACATGTTCATAATTACACACCTGTTCCATGGTTATCACAAGCCACGTGAAATTTGCTATTCCAAGCAAAATGCACCGCTAGTCTCACATAGATGTACCCAATTTTTATCTTTTATAAATTATTACGTCTTTTCTCACACGACACGATGTTTTTCGGAGCTCTCAATAAAAACTACCTGCCCGGTAACAACGCTCGATTTATTCTGTCCGTTTAGTGTTTACATGCTTTTTTTCGTACCATACAAGTTTGTGTATATATTATCTAGTCTTCCGACGTTGCCGTCCTTGGACCCGATGTATTATTTTTCGTAACAATCGGCCTTCCTGACCCTCTGGTGTCCTCGCCAGTGGTATAGTACCCATGGTTGTTATTTGTAGCCCTAGGAAAGAAACAAAATACAGTACCATTTTACTACAAAATCTATTACAGGGTGGATGAATTTGTAGCATTGTTCACTCACAGCCAGTGTGACTTTAGTTACACTTCATAATTTTCTTTTTTTCAGTGTGATCTTAGTTACCACACTTATATACCTTTATTAATGTGTGAGCTTAGTTACCACACTTCATGTGTATTTTTTTTCACAGTGTGATCTTAGTTACCACACTTATATACCTGTATTAATGTGTGAGCTTAGTTACCACACTTCATGTGTATTTTTTTTTTCACAGTGTGATCTTAGTTACCACACTTATATACCTGTATTAATGTGTGAGCTTAGTTACCACACTTCATGTGTATTTTTTTTTTCACAGTGTGATCTTAGTTACCACACTTATTAAATCTATCAGATTGGTGTGAACTTTGTTACCACACTCATTCTATCTTCGATAGTGTGAACTGTGTTACCACACATATAGTTATGTATGCTACCTTTCATCTAGTGTGATCTCGGTTACCACACTACCACTGATTCACAATAACACTGCAACTCCAGTAACCAGTTTTATTACATGATAATTAGAGGACATATAAATATATCTATACCTTACAGACTAACCTTCTAACAAATCAATCAGCTCATCTGTACTATTGACCTCGCTTTCACTTTCTGTAATATCAACGACACCACCTTTCCATTCTCTCAAGCTATCCGCAGCTACTATAGCTCTAAATCTCTTATACCCCTTCAAGCCCTCCAAAGATGTTATTTCATATCTATCATTTCCCAAAACCTTCTTGATTTTATAAGGCCCACCAAACTTTTGATAACCTACTTTCCTACTAACTTCTTTTTGATTTGTATTCGCCCCTGACCATAATACAAGATCACCCTTATTGTATGACTTTGTAGGCGTGTGCTTTTCATCGAAACGTTTTTTCATTTTATTTGCCTGTATGTCCATCCTGTCTTAGCATCGGGCGGGACCTCAAACTCATTATCTCCCAGATCAGCATGTTGGTTTTTTTCATAACCAAACATTAAAAGGTGTGGCGCATACCCGGTAGTATCGTTCACTGTATTATTAATACCCCATAAAACTTTAGGAAGAGCTCTCTGCCAATCACTTTCATTTTCTATAGACGTATTTATCCCGTTTAATATTGTTCGATTATACCTTTCGATTTGCCCATTTGCTCTTGGACATGCTATAGCGTTTAAAATATGTTTAACTTGATACTGGCTTAAAAATAATTTGAACGCTTTACTAGTGAAAGCTTTTCCACGATCTGAAATTATTCTTTTGGGAGTCCCGAACATACTAAATAAATCGTCTAAATGTTCATTAACCTCTTTAGCCTTTGTAGTTTTTGTCGGTCTAGCAAATACAAATTTAGCGAATGAATCAATTATCATGAGAATATATGAATTTCCCCTATCACTTTTAACAAATGGGCCTAAATGGTCAATATGCCATGTATGAAGCGGTTCGCACGGCTTACTTATGGGAAAGAGTTGTCCTTGTTGTTTTCCATATTGTCCCCTTTTATACTGACAATCTAGGCACGCAGTTACGTATTTTTTTATAAATCTAGTCATATTTTTGAACCAAAATTTGTCCTTGATGATTGCCTCGCATCGTTTTAGTCCTACATGGCCGATATCATCATGATATTTCCGCAATATGTTAAATCGCGCAGACTTTGGAACAACCAGCTTAAGCTTACCATCCAACGTCTTACGATACAATTTATGATCCCTTATTTTATAGTTATTTAAAATGTCCTTGTCATTTGCTGCGGCTAACTTTTCTTTTATTATCCGTATACTTTCATCTTGCTGTTGTAATGCTAAAACCCAATCAGACGCGTCCATAATAAGTACATCGCCCACTGGATTTCTACTTAGAGCATCCACATGTTTCATTTTATCACCCGGACGGTGTTCTATTTCGAAATCGAAATCTTGGATACTCAACCACCATCGTGCAACCCTAGGTAGCAAATCTTTTTTCTCAAAAGTACCCCTAACTGCACTACAATCTGTGACTATTTTAAAATGTATCCCTGTCAAATAGACCCTAAATCTTTTGATTGACTCAACAACAGCTAAGGTCTCTAACTCGTATGAATGATATAATTTTTCATCACGAGATGTTGATCGGCTAAAGTAATATACCGGTTTTAACGTAGCTCCCTCATACTGTAGGAGCATACTTCCAATGCCCTTGCTACATGCGTCTGTATGTAGTTCAGTCTTTGCTTCAGGGTCATAAATTTTGAGAATAGGTTTATTTATAAGTATATCCTTAATTTTACTAACAGCTTGTTTGTGCTCACTTTCCCAAGACCACGGCACATTTTTTCGTAACAATGTTGTAAGTGGAGCGACAATTTTTGCATGATCTTTTATAAACTTAAGGAAATAGGAACTGAGTCCCAAAAACTGCCGTAGCTCATGTATATTTGTTGGATCTTTGAAGTCTGCTACTGCTCTAACTTTTCGATCACCAGGTCTTATTCCTAGTTCCGAAATCTCATATCCAAGGAAATCTATTTGTGTCTGGAAAAATGAGCACTTATCTATATTCAATTTTAAATTGGCTTTGGCAAATAATTCAAGAACTTGTCGTAAAACTTGCAATCCCTGTTCCACAGTGTCTGACGGGATCAGTATGTCGTCGAGATAAACAGCGACCGTATCATATCTCAAATTTCCCAATACATTATTTACCATTTTTTGAAATGTGCCGGGAGCATTAGCGATCCCAAAAGGCATTCTTACAAATTCATACTGACCGTCAGGCGTTACAAAGGCAGTTTTATTAATGGAATCAGATGCCACAGGCACTTGATAATATCCTTGGGCCATATCTAAACTGCAAAAATACTTTTTGTTTTGTAGCCTGGATATCAAATCTTCTATGTGTGGTAGTGGATAATTATTCTTCACCATGATAGAATTTAATTTTCTATAGTCAACGCATAAACGGTAATCTCCGGTCTTCTTTTTTACAAGAACGATTGGACTAGAGTAGTTAGATGATGATTCTCTAATAATACCTCCTTCCAAGAGGTCACTAATTTTATCTCGGACGATCCCCCTTTGAAATTCAGACAAGCGGTAGGGCCTATGAACGATTGGTTTGTCAGATAACAAATCTATTTTCAATTCTACTGATTTACTATTACCTAACTCGAGAGTATCAGTTGCAAAACATTTGCTGAAGCTATGTAAAAGATCATACAACTTATTTCTATCATTTTCTGATAAATTTCCACAAATTATGTTATCCATTTGTAACGATAGAGTGCTTAGTACATTGCCTTCTTCTATGACTGGAAATTTAGTCGAGGAACTTAGCTTGAACCCCTTTGTTAAAATTTGTCCTTTTTCCCAACATATAGGTTTATTACCCCAATTTATGACATTTAACGTTTGAACTGGTCCACTAATAAGACAACCTTGTATAGAACAATTTTGGGAACCAGTAAACAGCTGACCACTTATAATAACAATATCGTGGGTATTATCTAAAGCAACCAATATTCTCTTAGAACTTAGAGCAGGAATATGTACATGTTCGAAAACTTCAATAGGCAATTTTTCTATATTATCTAGGCAACTAAACATTTCTAACAAATTATCTTCAGCTGGTTTTAATTGTGTATGACCACCTGTAACATTCATAGTCACCTTTTCGCTATTTATAATTGGTTGTCCAATAATAACATCAACTGAGGACATTTCAACATTTACAAATACCAAAGACGTAGTCATAAAAATCTTGCCAATAGATATCTCTACCTGACTGGTTTTTTCTGGCACTATGTGGGAGCCACTGAAATTCCTCAGTATTATATCAGTCGGATACAATTTTAAATTGAGTTTATTGGCTACCCTAATATTAGCAACATTCAATTGACTACCAGTATCAATATACCCATTGACATGTTGACCATTAATTTCTATGGCTATATTATAGAAATAATTGGGCACTTGCCTTTGCAAAATTCTGACATCCTTAGGCTTCCCCCGTTCCTTAGTCCAGCAGTTTTCAGCTAGGTGTCCTCTTTTCCCGCAGGTGGTGCAGGTCGATGTCAAACTCGGTCTTTTCCAACAGTCCTGGTCCTTATGTCCCATTTTACCGCAACTCGAACATGTCGGCTTGACTCTGGACCAACACAGCTGCTCCGTGTGCCCCTTCTTTCCGCAACGAGGACAACGGGTACCTTGATCACTGCTCCTTGGAGTACTGCTACTAGTTGCCTGATTCGATCTTCTAAGTAAACAATGTCGGGCTTTATGCCCTACTTTCTTGCATAAGATACACCTAAATGTCAATTGTCCAGATGTACTAGGTTGTAGATCAAAATTTTCTGTGGTACCCATTCTCTTAGCTGGCGACTCGCGAAAACTCTCTACTTTGCTAAGGAACCCGTAGAACAGCTCGTCTGGTGATTCATAGTTCCCCGCTTTGGCGTTAGCTTGCAGTGGTATGGGTAATCCATCAATTATGCAAGAAACTGCATTAGTCCCCACTAGTCCACATTTTTTTACCAGCATGTTCTTCGAATAAAAATAATGCATCATGCTCTCATCATTACTCTTACTTCGCGCCAACATTTTTTTAGCAAGTTGACGTAGTCTGTATGTGCAGGGAAGGCACGTGAAATGGCCAATTTCCACTCGTCCCAATTCAAGTTGTAGTCTGTTAGCCCGTTATACCAAACTTTTGCCAATCCTGTAAGGCGAGACTGCATGCATAATGATTTTTGTTCATCGCTCCAACTATTAATCATTCCAATTTGTTCAATCTTATGTAACCAATTTATGGCAGTGATCTCTGATTTTTCCGGATCAAACTCTGGTATCAAATCTGCTTTCCCGGTGTATTTTGAATCAGTGCTCTGTATGAAATTACGTTGACTCAAAATCTTACTCACTTTTTTCGCCACAAGCTTGTCAACAGTTTTCTCGATCTTCCGTTTTTTTGTTGGAGCACACACATAAAGTCCAGATTGTTCATTATCATCCTCACTTGAAGTGTCACTCATCTTGCACTAAGTCTATACACAGTACTTAGCAACACGATGACTTATTAACCCGTCACAACTAATCAATATTCAGTAAGTTCTATCCCACCTTCTGAAATATTACGTCTTTTCTCACACGACACGATGTTTTTCGGAGCTCTCAATAAAAACTACCTGCCCGGTAACAACGCTCGATTTATTCTGTCCGTTTAGTGTTTACATGCTTTTTTTCGTACCATACAAGTTTGTGTATATATTATCTAGTCTTCCGACGTTGCCGTCCTTGGACCCGATGTATTATTTTTCGTAACAAAATGGAAAATGCTGTATTGGTACATTGCTATCACAAACGAGATGGAATTTGCTATCCCAAGTAAAATGTACCGCTAGTCTCACATAGATGTACCCAATTTTTATCTGTTATAGATGCAAAATGCTATATTGCTACATTTCTATCACAAACTAGATCGAATTTGCTATCTCAAACAAAATCTAATGCTAGTTTCGTATAGACGAATCTAATCTCTATTTGTAATTAATGAAAAATGGTACTTTGGCGGTTTCTTAAACTGTCTTGTGCAATCTTATTATGCTGTTCCGCGGTTATCATAAACCAAATGGAATTTGCCGTCACAAGCAAAATGCAACGCTAAGCTCGCATAAGATACCTAATCTCGATCTGGTAGTAAGGAATATCTTAACGACTTCCTAACCTGCCATGTTCAAACTTTCAGTCCTGTTCCATGGTTATCACAGACCAGGTGAAATTTGCTATCACAAGCAATTGAGAAGAGATTGTTGACCATTCCTCATTGCTATGTTGTCCCAAACGCTTTCAGTGTTGTTATTTCTGCAACGGAGTTCAGTATTGAGTCATAATCCCAAATATCTTCATTCGTCCTTGGTGTGGATTATCACAAGCTAGGTCCGTGTTGCTATCAGAAGCAACCGAATCCAATGTTACAACGTTATCCCAAATGTCTTCGTTCATCCTTGATGCGGAGCTGACTATCCCAAGCCAGGTCTACGTTGCTATCCCAAGCAACCGTATAATGTTTCCGCGTTATCCCAAACGCCTTTGTTCTTCCTTGGTATGGAGTTGGCTATCACAAGCTAGGTCCAGGTCACTATCCCAAGCAACAATGTCAGAACGTTATCCCAAACGTTACGTTAGGCACAGTTTGCAGCGCCGGTGAGGCATCCATACTAATATTCATTTAACTTGCACCTAAAACAGATCGGTCAGTCGACAGTTACCTGATGACGCCCCTTCAGAAAAAGAGGCCTGCACGCCACTTTCAATTTTGCTCCGCGACGAAAGGAACTTCAGGCGACCGTCGGTCAGTATCTCGTTCGACAATACGCATCTATCGGCCAACCTTATGTCCTGTTTTCTAATTCTAAATGTTCAGCGGTTCCTCGACACTGCTGAAAACGTACAAATGAGCGCCGATCGAGGTGTTAACAGTTTGGCACGAGAACAAAGAATGGAGGTTTGTCGGCGGCCAGAGGGGAGGAAGGTAGCGTGAAGGGGCGCGGTGCTGCTTTCCATCGCTGGGTGCGCGCTTTGAAATCGTGGGGGTTGGTTACTACTACGAGGGCACTGCGATATTTATTCGAAATATTTACTTCGACGAGGATGGAACATAATAAATACAACTGAATTATTTTGTTCAATAACTGGCTCTGACTGTGTTTGCTGCATTACATCCTTATAAAATCCGTATGCCCTCACGTTGTTTCATCCACGCGCGTTGTTAAATAAAGCGGATAAGCGACGTCATGAGTTCGAAAAACGTAACTAGATCATTATGCCTCTCTTCGTTGGCTAATTGCTCTCAAAGTAAGGCGCATTATTGGAGGAATGGGGGAAATGCTGATGAGTTGGGAGATTGGGAGATTTTTTTGGACGTAATTCGTGTTAGGGTCCCGAAAACCCTTATAAATAGCATGATAAAAGCTTATAACGAATAGCTTTACTAATATCCCGTAAGTGCTGAGTCAATTACGCGGTGTAAATATGTGAATAATAAAAAGCACATAATACATCCCATTACAATGCACTTATAGAAGTAGCGTGTTCAGGTGTCCGCCAGCAGCCTCAATATTTTACATGGCTTTTAGGATGGCATTTAACGACGATGGATCGCAGCAGGCATCAGGATGTATGCAGAACAATGTATAAACGACACCACGTTTATGTTCGGTGCAGCGTGGAATTTGGCTTCATGTTCGCTTGCAGCCGAGTTCGTCTCTTCCTGTCAATTTCCTCATTTTCGCGTCAGACAAAAGGACTGTCAGCTAGCAGCGACTGTTTGTCATTGGCGGTGCTCATTTAATCCCCGAGGTAGATTTACAAAGGTAAATGGAATTGTTCCTCATTATAGCTGTGATATAGCTTTCAACAGTTCTACTGGGAAGCTTTACTAAGCAACAAAGTTGGAAAAATCATTTTATAGCTCATATTCCATAAAGCAAGAAGCATTGGTCCGAGTGTTCTATAGAAAAGTTGTAGGGGTTGAAAGGACCTTCAAAATGAGACCTTATTCATGCAATTTACGGCAGCAGTTGATTTTTATGTATATTTTAAAGGTATCAATTTTAAACTGTTACTTCCTAAGCCACTGGACGAGAAAGGTTTGTAATCGCAAAAAGTTTCCAAAATGAGATATTATGGTTCTTTAATGTTATATGGCATATACATACGTCACAAAAAACCATGTCACTTAATTCCGTCGGCCTGTCTGTCATTTTATCTATCCGCTAGTCATTCGACTCGCGGTTACGACTACTCGTATGACAAAAGCCAAAGAGTTTTGTAGTTTTTCAAAATCATTGGTGAAGGTGGAACTAGCCCAACTAGCAAAGCAGCCCAACTAGCAAAGTAGTAGTAGCTTTTGGTAAAAGAACCGTTCAGCCATAAAAGCTCTCTATTGTTGTTGCCTGAACACCAAAATGCTGGCTTAATGTTGAGTGGAATGCAAATTTGCTTTCTGCAACATATTTGCTCTAAAATGAGGTGTTTAAAATATTCTTATAGCATAGTTGCACAACACCTTATAGGACAAATTTTTAACTGATGCATAAACGTTAATACAACTACTTTATACGGCATATTTGCAGGTTAGTCAAAATGGTTGTGTTGTGGCATCCATGGTAACGTTTATAAAACAAACCTGAGCCTTGTTGTTTTGCTGTGCAAATTTACTACTTTAGCCAACAAATTGCTCCCAACGGAAGCACTTTTACAACTGTTGTTTAGTAACTGCTAAATATGTTGGTATACAACTTCACCATAACCTAACTTTCTGCTGTCAGATTTTAGTTAAAATGCCATAACCAATGTTTTAAGACAAACAACGCATGCATACTGGTTCAAAATGTTTTATCAACTGTTCAAACAGAAGATATAGATCTGGTACAAATTCTGGGTGAATCATTCGACTCTGTCGGTATTTCATTTCAGACATTTGTCAAATTGTTGTATAACACCTGCAGGCAACACCAAAATATTCTAATAACCTAAAGGCAACATGGACGATGCCATGATTATACACAACCACCCGCCATATTGGGCAAACATTTATTCCTCTATTTGATATTAAATAATTATGTTTCAGTTCAAAATTACAGATATAAAGTGATAGACATTAGTGTAATTGTGTCTAAATATAGGATTTGTGGAAGATTTAACGCAGATAAGTTCAGTTTTCCATCTTAAAAATCTAGACATACTTTTGATCATCATCAAAATATGAAAACTACTTTGGACGATAATCACAATAAAATTTGCTGCGCAAGTAATTCAATAGCCCTATATCACAGTGTAGAAGTTTATCATATACATGTGTATGAAATTCACAATGGCCGATATCTAAGTAAACAAGATGACTGTAATGTGTTAGTTATATATTCTTCGCTTCGTCTATACAATACATAAGAAGTAGTTTGGTTCCAATAAAGTAGAATCACGTAACATTATAATAGTTGTATAGTTGACAAAAACTGAATCTTGCACTGACGCAAATGTCCTATAGCGGCTGCAAGAGGCTTACACTTTTGTTTTATAACTGTTACCTGCAGCCCTTATTTAACCTCTTAAATTACTGAATTGTCCTATTAGGTTGCCCATTCCGCTTGTATAGCTGTTCTAAGAGGGTTTTGCCAATGTTCTTACAGTATACAATGCTATTTAAGGAATACTGTATAATCATTCTTGCAACTCTAATAGGAATGATAAATGTTAGTTGGGAGGGGTAAGAAGAAAATGAAAATATCTTGTTTCTTGGCATTTCAGATGCCCTTGATTTTCAGAAAAAAATTCGCATTACCGAACGATCACTAAGGCGAAGTGCAGCAGCATGTTTCCGGGCAGATCGAGTCGGACTGCGAAGAAAGACCTGTCAAACGCGTTCAACATTTTCAGGAGTTCGAACTGTTCGCGGCGCTCCTCTTGGTCGTCTGTTGATCAGTTCACCACGCCTGCGAAGTGATTCAACCCAACGAAGGATGGTGTTTCGAGAGGGAACAGCTCTATTCCGATGAATGTTGAAGTGGCGACGAAACTCACGCTGTACGACGATGACTGACTCATTATTTCGGACGAAACAATCATAGGCGATAACGCGGTGCTCCACCGTCCAAGGCTCCACAACGACAACTGGTAAAATCATTATTAGGATCTCACGAGTCAAATGGCAACCTCCCCACCTCTCGCGTAGGCGGAAGCGGAGAGTACTACCCATCCCAAAGACGTCCGCCCTCTCTGCCGCACCCTGTATAATTCAACCAAAGTTTGACATGTTGAGAGCTTAAGTACCCGCTAGGGTCTCATTAGGTAGTGTCAAAGAAGAACTATTAATTCATTTTGATCACTAAGGACCACACAATACTGTGACTCTTGTTTGATTTCGATAAAATGAGAGTTTTTGAAAAAACATTTTTGTGTCAGTTGTTAGTTGGGAGGGGTAAGAAGAAAATGAAAATATCTTGTTTTTTGGCGTTTCAGATGCCCTTGATTTTCAGAAAAAAATTTGTAGGGGTTGAAATTTGGGGGGTTCGTGGTTGTAGGGGGTGGGGAAGGGTATATCTCATTGACTCCATCACATTATTATAGCTCTGAAATCCGTCTAACAATTTTTCAAATAGCATTCCATTCCAGTAGCTACGTAGCCGGATGTATGGCCAATGCCTGGCAACAAAAGCATCTTTATCTCAACCGGTTAGAGGCACCTAAACGCATATTCGATTTTGGTGCATAGTCTCAGTTTGCTTCTCATTTTGGACCTGTCTGTCCTGAATAGCGAAGACAGGTACGACCGTTTCTGTGCTCCTAATTTCTCAGTTGTACTCATCTTACTCAGTTCAAGGCTCAGATCAACTACGAGGGCCTTATAGGCTGCTGAGCATAAATACAAAACCCCAAGACCGGGAAGTAAATCTCCGTCATACACGCAATATAGCTCAAGGAAAACAGGTCCATAACTGGTAAATGCTTGAAAATATTGCTCTCGTAAAGTATATTGTCAAGCCACTGTCTTCGTTGGAATTAATCGCTGGTCACCGGATAACAAGGATTTAATTTCCGTTCCTGCAACTTGTTCCTTTCTGGACCCAGTTTGCATCGATAATTAATTTATTTGGATCGATACCACTCCAAACAAGGCCAGCTTTGTCAGCTGATGTCCACTTTGAGCCCACTGGGATTTTTTTCGGACGCTACTCAAAGTAACAGCGCTGTCCAATAAGGGAGGAGGAACCAAGTTATTTAGATCATAGGGTACGTTTACACAGGCTACTTTATAAAACTTCTGTAAATCGAGAACTGGCCGTTGTGACAACGCAGCGTTTATCTGGTTTGGGTTGTTCCACTTCTACAGTACTCAGCCAGGTATGGAAATTTCTGCTTATCTAAAAATACTAACGAGTTCTTTAAGAAGATGAACATCATTATTTGGAATTTGGACATCCACCCATAATTTTCATTATCATAGCCTCGCTGTCAACAAGGATTACAGTAATTTTCTTCGGAGTAACGAAAACACTCAATTTTCCTTTAAAAGAAATGTATATGCCCTTAAATATCAAATCGACTGAAGTGCAGGACTCCAATATTCGTGGGAAGTGGGCAGTAGTAACACACGGTTTCGGGGACTCACTTTACTCAAACTTTACAACAAAAATAATCTTACAGGTCAAACTCAACAGATGTGATACATTCGACGGTTGCCGGCCGACTGCCGCGTCACTTTTGGTTCAAGGTGAACCACTTTCATCGGCCTTAAGGCTACGGTCAGTCCAGACATTATTAAGGTTACGAAGATCACTCGCGCACTACATCACCCCCCTATTATATCTGAGGGATTACATTCCAGAAGATATAATACCAAATACTAACCTAATTAAACTAAACCTAATTTACAATTGGTCAGGGGTAGGGCAGCGCTTATACAATTTTAAGTTTCTAATGTTCTGAGGGCCTACATTGACACCTTCTATATTCTTTAACATATAAGAATTGGGTCCAACTATGCGCGACACCACATATGGCCCATCAAAACTCACAAATAACTTTCGGATTTCCGCATTGGCAGCGGAGGAAATTGGGTGAGTCTTCACTAAAACGGAATCCCCGACAGTAAAAGTGATAGCTTTATTCTTGTTTTCAAACATCTCCTTGCGTTTTCTAGCCTTGGACCGTAAATTGTTGGAAGCTAATTGGAGTGATGAGGTCCAATCCGGAGTGGGGGGATTACCAGGAGGATAATCAATCAGTTTAAAAATATCATTAGGCTCTGATCTTCCAAACATCAACATCGCAGGAACTTGTCCGGTACTTTCGTGGACAATATTATTTAGGCAGTGTTCAATACGTGGTAGAACACAAGCCCATTTGGTATGTTTGGTAGAACAGAAACACCTAAGCAGACGGCCAATCTCTCTATTCATGCGCTCTGTGGGATTACCCGATGGGAAATAAACGGAGGTGTAAATGGATTTTACACCCTTTTCCGCCAAACATTTTATATAGACCGCTGAATGGAATTGGGTTCCATTGTCTGATAACACCGCTTCTGGAGTTAGGATCTCAGAAAAATATCGCTCCAGCTTGTTAACAATACTTCGCGCCGTAGCTCTACGAAGAGCATAAAGTTTCGTAAACTTGGTAAAATTATCTACCACCACAAATAGCTGTGTAGCGCCTCCTCGCGACGGTGGCAGAGGACCCATTAAATCCACCGTGAGCAACTGTCCCGGTTTTTCAGGTAAAATGGCATTATAAGTGCCTTGTAACCCCTTTGAAATTTTAGTTTTCTGACAGAGCTCACAACTAGTAACGACTTGTCGGATATTTTTGGCCATTTTAGGCCAAAAGAAAAGTTCCCTCATATGGTGTAAGATTTTCTTGTATCCAAAATGCCCTAAATCAGCATGTTGTTGCTGTATTAGTGAAATAACGTATTCCTTCGGAATACATAATTTATATCCGGGGAACCCGCGAGACCCTCGTTTGAAAAGTACCCCCTTATAAACAACATACCACTTTCCTACATCAGTAATGTTTTCCTTATTAGCGTCTTTCTCCAATTGTTTCACAATTCTCGAAATCCAGTCAGATTTTACTTGATCTACAGCTATACCCTTCATATTTTCCCTTAATAACCTATACTCATTACTTATTCTCAACATTGAAACCTCTACCCCTATCTGACGGTCCGGAACCTCAGGATCCTGTCTCCGGATCGGGTACCGCGAAAGCACATCAGCAAGTACATTATCTTTCCCCTTAATATATTCCACATCGAAATTATATTCCTGCATAAATAGTACCCACCTACTCAGTCGTGGTGTTTTCAAGGAACACTGCATTAAGTAACTTAATGCTTTATGGTCTGTTCTAATGGTTAATTCATTCCCCAACACCAGGGTGCGCCACTGGATCAATGCAAACACTATCGCTAAACACTCCTTCTCCGTAACCGTGTAATTTAATTCGGGCCCCTTCAACGTTCTACTAGCAAATGCTAAAATATGTAACTCATCCCCCTCCCCTACTTGATAGAGAAAAGATCCTAGTCCATATCCAGAACTATCTGCTTGAATGTAGAATCTCTTTGCAAAATTCGGATGTGCTAATATAGTAACTTCCAGGAAAGCCCTTTTAATTTTTGTAAACGCGAACTCCTCAGAAGCTCCCCATTCCCACTTCACTGACTTGCGCAATAATTTTAACAAGGGTACAGTCAAATCTGCAAACTTATTACAAAATCTCCTGTCATAGTTGACCATCCCTAAAAAACTTCTCAACTCACGGATATTCCTAGGCCGAGGAAAATCCTGAATAGCCTTAATTCTCTCCGGATTCATGGCAATACCGGACGATAATATCACATGACCTAAAAACTGTACCTGGATGCGCGCAAATTTAGTTTTCCGCAATTTAATGGTCATATTAGCAGCCTTAATTTTCTCAAAAATGATGCCCAAATGACGTAAATGCTCTTCAGATGTCCTTGAAAAGACAAAAATGTCATCGACATAAACTAAGGTGAAATTCTCTACTTCTGCACCCAAAACTAACTTTAAACCCCTTATAAAACTGGCAACACTGGTTGAAAGGCCAAATGGTAGTACATTAAAAACATATGTTTGATTGTTAAACAGGAAACCCAAATATTTCCTATCATCTTTTCGCACTGGCACCTGCCAATATGACGCAGTCAAATCCAAAGTTGAAAGGTAACAGCTACCATCAAATTTGGTCAGTAAATCATCTGGGTTTGGTGGTAAAACATGATCTTTTACCATGCGAGTGTTGATATATCTGGCATCTAAGCATATGCGTACTGAGTTATCTTTTTTTATGACTGTGGTGAGAGGCGATACATATTCAGTTTGCTGTAAAGAAATTATGTCTAACTCTAACATTTCTAACAACTGACGCTGGGCTTCTACCCGATGAGACACTGCAATGGGGTATGAGGCCTTAAAAAATGGTGTGTTATCTCTCATTTTTATTTCATGATTATAAACTGGCATACGACCTGGAGTTTCAGAGAAAATACCCTCAAAATCCTTAACTAGTTTCAATAGTTCCGCTTTTTCCCTTTCATCAAACAATTCCGCCTTAGTAACCACTTCTTTTATCTCGAAATCTGTATAACGATGTCTATTCCTATCCTTCATTTGTCCTTCTTGTAGAAAATTAATCGATAACTGAGCCTCATCCCTTCTTTCCAACTGAATTCTCACCTTTAAACTTTTTTCATCAACAGCTAAAACTAAATCATCATAATCAAGTTTGACATGTTCCTTTAAAAACCAATCGCTTCCTAAAATAACCGAACGGTTCAAATGTGGCACCACTATGCAAGGGATTTCAAACACACACCCCCCAATTTCGATTTTCACTAAAACCTGCTGCTTAATTCGCTGTTGCTTTTTACCAACTGCCCCCGTAACTGAGAAATTTACCACCGGCAATACCAATATCCCATTTTCATCAGAATTTATTTTCTTGTAAAATTCATCAGATATCGCACAACATTGACTACCTGAGTCTAGTAATATGTTTACTTCTTCACCATAAACATTACCTTTCACAGTTGAGGAAATCATCTGGTGTCCTTCATCACCATCTCCACCATCCTCAATTTCACTCAATAAATCCTCTCCCACATCTATAAATCTGATAGCCCTATCCTGATCATTTCTGTTATTTTCTCCCTGAGCATCTTGCCTAAAATTTCGATTACCATTATGATTTGGTGGGTTGTACCCCCCTCTCCCTTCATTTCTTCTATCACGACTAGTAGCATCAACCTCATCTAAATTTCTTAGAAATCCTTCAAGTTCCTCTATGGTTTTCATATTTTGAATTAAAACCGCCCTATGAATCTCTGGCTCTTGTGTAAAATGCTGTGACAAAAACCTCACTAACTCACTCTCAGAAATCTTGTCTGTCAAAAAACTGGCTAGTTTTGCCATCCGGAGAACATAATCTGCCCTGCTACCTGATCGAAATTTACCATACTTTATTTCATAGTACAATGCACGTTGTTCTTTAACCCCCCAGTACCTATCCATGAAAGCATCAATGAAACTCTGAAATGAGTCAAAAGAATCCTCCTTGATTTCCGCCCACTCAGCAGCCGAGCCCCTCAAACACCCTGTTACTAGTTTTAACCTTGCGGTTTCAGGCACCCCAGCCTCATCCAAGATATGCATAATTTTTCTTAAAAAGTTCATTGGATGCACTGGTCCATTAGGCACAAATGTCAAAGTGTGACCCCCCAGGTCCCTCCACAGACCAACATATTGCCTACTACCCCCAGATAAAGACGTCTGTAACCTTTTGAAATCATCTGCTAAGTTATTCACCATATTTTTTAACTCACTACACTGTGGTGACTCACTTTCATCCAAACTACCTAACAAACTGTTCTCCTCATTTACATTGGCTTTTGGTTTCTTCGGTGCCATTTTATCATTCATTTGAAAAGCGATTTCAATCTAAATACCTAACTCTACCCAATACACAAATAAAATACAGTACCTTGCACTATAGTTTTTTTTTTTTCTCTATGATACCTGGACCATAACTTTTTCTTCTTCTTTCCGCTCCAACTCTGCTTCTCCCAAACTTCCAGCTCACCTCCTAAGCACCTGGATCTCTCTGCTAACAGTGCCCAACTCTTCGCTTATTTCAAAACTCCTATGTCCAAAACAACTTGTCGTTTGTTTAGTTCAAAGCGGCTGTCATACATCAGCTGATCAAACATCAGCCATTTGTTTTCCACTGCTTTTCCTAGTCGTCAGATGGCAGCAGCGATCAGACACTTTCGATTTCGTTCTCAATGGCCGACCACGCTTTGCAAAACTCAAAATGATTTATCCTTCACTGGCAAATTCCCCAAAACACTACAACCCTCACGTTGTGCGCCAAAATGAAGTGCAGAACTCCAATATTCGTGGGAAGTGGGCAGTAGTAACACACGGTTTCGGGGACTCACTTTACTCAAACTTTACAACAAAAATAATCTTACAGGTCAAACTCAACAGATGTGATACATTCGACGGTTGCCGGCCGACTGCCGCGTCACTTTTGGTTCAAGGTGAACCACTTTCATCGGCCTTAAGGCTACGGTCAGTCCAGACATTATTAAGGTTACGAAGATCACTCGCGCACTACACGACCTTCCAAGGAAATATTACGCTTCAGCCTTACTCGCAGTTATGTCTAAGATTTCCTATATTCCTATACGACAAAAAAGGGAATCCCCTAACATACAGCTACATTGGGTAAATATGGCAGCGCTAGCACCTAGACGCGGTGGTCAACGCGTATATGGTTATAAGTACAGCGTTACAGTAAATATGCCCTTTATGACGCAATTAAATTGAATATCCTCTAGTGGAATATATTAATAAAGGATCATAACAAGCGCGGTAGTCATGTCCCACTTTGGCTCACGTCTCTATGAATGTTCTGTAAATCATTGACCAGCAGGGCTATTACAAAAAAAATACAAAAAAAAGAAAAACGACAAAATGTTCACCTGCTGGCTAGATAGGTCCTAGTGAGCAAATAGTCCGCATTTACTCGCTATGATTGCTGGGAGCGCCCATCTATCACGACTCGATCAATGACCATGCTGCTTTGTTGGTTGCAGAATGCCGAGATAGTATGTAGGATATACTCTAAGATGTATATTGGTCTGCATGTATGTGATATTTGCTGTGAGAAAATTATTACTAAATATGCTGCCCATGAAATATGTCTGTTAGCTGTGCGAGGCGGAATGTATGTGTTGCCCTTTCTGAAAAGAGGTCATGTACAAAGCATTTTCGCACTGCCTCACATCTAGGTGCTGATTTGTATTTTCCACTTGACATCGTAAAATGAATTTTTATAAAAATTTTTTGAATGACTGGAAATATAAATTAATGTGAAATGTAATAACTTTTTTACGTTTCATAAATGTTGCTGAGTGTTACAAAAGACTGGGCTTTATTATACGCTGTGGTCGTGAGTTATAAGTCATTAATACAATTAAGCATTTTATTGCTCACTTGTTCGTTCAAAGCTTGAATATGCATGAGTTGTTTGGTAGCCTTGCTATAACTTCTGGATAGGTAAACTTGAAAATATCCAGCGACGATTGCTAAAGTACCTACATTCCAAGGAAAATGACTGTTACCCGCCATTTGGCTACCCTCAAAAACTTTTAGAAGAAGCCTTTGAATTAGAAAGTCTCAGGAAAGGGCGTGATAAGTACTGTCTTAATTTTATGCATAATACATCTGTTGCTAGCATATATTGCATAAAATTAATTTTCTTGTTCCACGCTTAAATTCTAGACAATTTGATACTTTTTATTTGCCTGCCCCTAGAACAAACATCCTAAAGTTTTCTCCACTATTTTACTCTTGTGGTAAAGCTAATGACGCAGAACAGTTGAATATATTTCTATGATATTTTTGTACATATTTGTGTTCGAACTACCTATTCTTGCTTATATTATAAAATAACTGTGTCTTTTTTGTCCGGACTGTGTCCTACTGTGTAAATGGCTGTTGCTGATGAGTAGTGTAAAAATAAATAGATAAATAAATAAAAATAATAAATAAATAGATATTCCTCTATGTCTCATATTTTCTCACATGGCATTTTTAATATACTTCACCAACCAGGGACTTTCTTTTCTTATCGCTCTCTTTTTTGAAATCTTTTGAAATTCAGCAGCAAATTTGCATGTGTAATTTTCAGGTTGAGTAAGAAAAAGCAGATGTGCAATTGATTTTTAGCGTAGAATACATCTCAAGTAAGTATAAAATGAGTCGTGGATTCACCGAGCAACATTTTGCCTGTCGAACAAATGGGGACAATTTCGAACGGTTTTTGTAAAAACGGTGTTTATTTAACTTGATAATGATTTTCTTCTTCTTTTGACGAGTTCCACAAATTGTTAATATAAATTACTCATCATTGAGAATACCCTGTATACAGAGTGTTCTGAAATAACAGGCCAATCTCTCGTATACACAGAGAACACTAAAAATATTGCCAAAGTACCTATAGAAGATGTCCGCAGGACTTCCATATGGAGAAACAATCCCCTAAGAACTGCTACTGGAAATAACTAGAATTTAATTCAATGACTCTTGAATGGCACTTTATAGGACAGGGTGCGGCAGAGAGGACGAACGGTTTTAAAAAAATCATAAAATAGTTAATTTTTACTCGAAAACAAATTTTAAGATGGAATCAGGTTCACAAGGAAATAGCATTCGAGACAGTCAAGTGTGGAAAATCACATCAGGCATGTGGTGGCCGAAATCGTTGATGCAGTGTTGGAGGCGTTCTTGGAAGTTCGCGTAGACTCTCTCAACTTTGGCGACTTCCACGCGAATTTCGCCCTTCAATTCGTCCAGAGTTGGGGGCTTGTGGCTTGTGAAAGTGGGCTTCGTCACTCATAAACAAAATGAGGTTCTCATTTTGATCGATCAGTGCTTCCATCTCACGTGCGAAGTTCATTCGTTGTGCATAATCTCCGGGCTGTAACTGTTGCACAATGGCCAATTTGTAGAGGTGAAAGCGGAGATACATATGCAAAATTCGCATTACCGAACGATCACTAAGGCGAAGTGCAGCAGCATATTTCCGGGCAGATCGAGTCGAACTGCGAAGAAAGACCTGTCAAACGCGTTCAACATTTTCAGGAGTTCGAACTGAACCCAACGAAGGATGGTGTTTCGAGAGGGAACAGCTCTATTCCGATGAATGTTGAAGTGGCGACGAAACTCACGCTGTACGTCGATGACTGACTCATTATTTCGGACGAAACAATCATAGGCGATAACGCGGTGCTCCACCGTCCAAGGCTCCATAACGACAACTGGTAAAATAATGCTAGGATCTCACGAGTCAAACGGCAACCTCCCCACCTGTCTCGTAGGCGGAAGCGGAGAGTACTACCCATCCCAAAGACGTCCGCCCTCTCTGCCGCACCCTGTATAATTCAACCAAAGTTTGACATGTTGAGAGCTTAAGTACCCGCTAGGGTCTCACTAGGTAGTGTCAAAGAAGAACTATTAATTCATTTTGATCACTAAGAACCACACAATACTGTAACTCTTGTTTGATTTCGATAGAATGAGAGTTTTTGAAAAAACATTTTTGTGTCAGTGAATACTCTAATGCTTGATTAAAGTTGTAAAGGTAAATGGGACATCCTCACAATAACAAGGCTTCAATTAGATGACTATGCATTCAGAACTCAGAACTTAGAAAAAGCATTTTTTTTAGTAACTTGTAACTCGTGTCACCCAAGTTATGAAAATTAAACTATAACCACAAGGCACCTTTTAAAGATTTTTAGTAAAAATAAAGTGGCACTCTAATATTACTTCCTACCGTTTCCGCTCAGAGTGAGTCTTTTTAGATTACACTTATTTACCTTGCATGCAAAGTAAACAGCAGCCTAATGCATTTGGATGTTCAACAGAATATTGATTTTGTGTCTGATACTTAAACTCCATTCTGAAGTTGAAACACCCGTCTATCAAAAACTTCTCAATTTCCGCGGAAGTGGAAACGATATGGAATTTCGAAACAATCTGCTACATAGTTGTTTGGATGCATTTTTCAATATTGGTTCACACAGCGGATTGAGCTGTTCCGATTTCCGCTTAAAAGTTTTTATAAACAAACTTGTAGAAGTTGTAGAAGCACAGGCGCTCGTGTGGATGAAAATATATTTGGGAAACAGTTTCACAATAAGCAAGTTCTGGAAATGTGAAGTGGAAATAAAATCATATCGTCTATGCCTAGATCTACCGAGTGGAATATCATAATAATGGCAAAGATTCTCAGTTTTACTTTCTATATTAACACTGGTAGTAATCGCGAAAAATTTCGAAATTGAGATATTTATGTTTTTTTTGGTTTTATATGACATGTCCATCACGAAAAGCCGTGTCATTTCCTAATTTTATAACTTGAGGAGCATTTATCGGATGTTGATGAAATTTTCACAGAAGGTTACCGGTATGACAAGGATGGAAAGACTTTGCAGTTTCTGAAGATCGGCCTAGTGGTTGCGGAAAAAAAGACCAATAACAAAAAAATAAAAACCGCCAAAAGTATTTATTTTTCCAAATTTAAAAAAAATAGTAGAGAAAAGGGAGCTTCGTGAATTCGAACTCCGTCCTGCGGTTCTGCAATCGTCAACCCTTCTATTACGTTACGACGCCTCTTGGTTTACTGGATCCTTATACCACTATACTTGACACTGACAAATGTCAAGCGAACGTTGGAGGTATATAAAACCTGTTATAAATAATTACAGTACTATTGAAAACTATAGGTGCAAGATACAAGGCTTTTTTTATACTCCAACCACCACGAAGGCCTAATGCCTAAACACCCATGGGATACCGTGGGGCTATAGGGGGATACAGGGGAAAGGGGGAACGCCACA